ATCTGGTGAAAACGCAATTTCTCCTTCAGTGGGCCTGTGGTCTGCATTTTTGGATGCGGGTTCAGGTCTTGCCATCACACATTAATCAGCAAACGTCCAGCAACGATTCTCAAACTCCAGCATGAATAAGACGCCCCAGAGGGCTTACAGCTTCCTGGGTCCAACGCCAGATCCTGGGGATTCTGATTCGGCAGGTCCGGGGTGGGGTCTGAGAATCTTTGTTCTTAACCAGCTCCCAGACCTCCCCTGGAGTGAACACGAGTTCCAGGCCCTGCCTCACTCATCCAGGGCGCCCCTAACCACCCTGGGCGTGACAGAGACAGAGGGCAGGTCATGGGTGGGGCATAGATGAAGGGGGGAAGGAACCAGTGCCCGCAGGAGCCCACCACAGGGTTCAGCTTTCAGACGAGATAGAAGAGGCGACAGGTACACACACCTCACTGTCTGCAGCTTCCATCTGAGGTACGAAGGGTTATGATCGCCTTCTTCACGCCCCCCTGCCTCCCGACAGTGAGTTACTACTCAGTTCTCGTGGGCGCTGAGCCCTGCAACCTGCCGTGGTCTGGTCAGCAGCTTCTGCAGGCCCAGCGGCCAGGCTCCAGGGGCTCTCGAGCAGCCTCCTCTCCCCCGAGACCTGGCGGTCGGGTGGGCGGGACGGGGCGAGGAAAGAGGCTGGGTGGGGGATCATGGGCTCTTCCTTCCCATTATTGGGTGGTTCTAAGCTCTCAAACCCTGCCCTCCAGTGTTTGCTTCCTGCTTAGCATCGCCCTGTGACAGAACAGCGAGGAGGCGCTCTCCCTCTTGTGGCCTGCCTCACCCAGGCCCTGCCTGGAAAAGGCCAGGGGAGGGGCTGCCCCTGGTCGCCCTGGAGAGATTCGACCTCTCCAGGGGCTGCTTTCTCACAGAACTCGTCGGAGCTTCCTTTCTCTTCTAAATTGACAAAAGGAAGAGGCCGCCCTGTCTTCTGGTAGAGGTCATGATGCCTAGAGGGGACACCAGCAGCCCTCTCCAGGGCCGGGAGCAGAGCTGGTCTGAGCATGTCAGAAAGTCATAGTGCCACCATACTGTCCACGGGTGACCGTAGACCCTCCCGTAGGGCCGGTCATTCCTTTAGCACAGTCCCGGGCAGGATGCCTGCGGGGTTCCCTCCGGCCGCGTTCAACTTTGTGGGTGGGGGTGCGGAGCTGGCTCTGCCCGGGGCCTGGATTTTGCTGGATGGACACCACAGGGTCAGAAAGGAGCCCAGGACAGGATGGGAGGGAGGGACTATAATGACGGACAGCAAGGACAGGAGGAGGCGGACGGTCTGTGGAAAGCTGACAACCCACTGGGGTCCAGGAACCACGGGAGCCGAGTGGCAGGAGGGAGGAAAGATGGGAGTGGGGTCAGAGGCTGGGCTGCTGGGGACCGAGGTATGAAGGGCCGCGGATGGTGTGATGGTGAGAGTCAGGAGTTAGGATCACGGGGGTGAGCGGCTGGGGAACGTGGAAGACATGGCCGAGGGGGGAGGAGTTCAAGGAACCCGTTGGCCCCAGAGCTAGAAAACCCGCACTTTGGAGGAAGGTAAAACAGGGCTTCCAAGCCCTCCTGGTCCTGGGGCACACATGGCCTTCTACAGCGCGACCCGACGACTCCAGCTGAAACAGTCCTTCCATTCCCCGACTCCTTGGTTGCGGCTGGGCTCTGTGACTTGCTGTGACTGGCGGGTGCCTGCCGAGGAGACATCAGGTAACTTCTGATGTTGTGCCTGAAGACGCTCAGCAGTCCCTGCATATGCCTGAGACACCCCCTCCCCCCATACAAGGAAGCCAGAGGACGAGAGGCCGTGTGGAAAACTGGGGCACCCCCATGGAGCACCAGCACCTACTGCCACAAGGGGACACCCATGAGACCCACAGATTCACACCCACAATGTCATCGTGATGTTTAGCCCCTAAGTGTGAGGGCATCGGGCTGCAGACAGACGTGTGGATTGTGAAATCATCGACAATTATTACAAGGGAATGTTAGAGACTAATAACAAATCAGAGCTAAGATCTAGGTTTGTGAGAAAAGAATAGTTTCTATTCTTTTTTTAAAATTTTTTTAGCTATTTTGAGGGGACTGCCTTGCTGTTTATTGTCAAAAGTATCCAACATATGCAATTAGGTGTAAATAAAGGGACCTCCACCCCCCCCCCCAAAAAAACACATAAAACTCTCAGAGCTCAAGCATCTGCCCCTTCTGGATGACTTCTTGCTGCAGAGTGGGAAGGCTTCAGGGAGGAGGTGACGTCTTGGATGACTCAGGCAGGACGAGAAGGGTCATGGGTGTGCCCAACACCCTCGTTGGCGTTGGGACATGACCCAGCACAGTGGGGCAGCCAAGCAGAACAGAGGGGAGAGAAGACGACACGTTGGGCAGCAGAGAGAGCTCTGTGGTCCTATTCCCTCTGGAATAGCGCTGCTATTCCCTCTTGGAAATTCACCTACAGGTGTAGCACTTGAACCTGAAGGGTGAGCCTCCATGAGAACCAGGCTCCACGCAGTCAAGGAGCCTGGCCTTGCCCTGTCTTGATTAAACAAAGCATGAGATTTCTGGGATACTGAGGTTGAGACAGGAAGGGAGCGGCAGGAACGGCCGGGTCAGCATCAGATGTCAAAATTCCACACAATGGAAGCGTGCGAGATGAAAGAAGAGGGTCAGCAGGCTAGGTCAGGGGTTGACACAAATTAAGGGGGTGCCAAATGAAGGAATCAGAGACCTAGGCGAAGTCAAGGTTAGAATCTTGGGGTGTGCGCCTTACTGATACTTCCACCTGTCCCCACTACATCTAGGGCTACGGCCACTGCCTGAATGGCCAGCCCTGCACCCTGGTGGAGAAGGATCTCCTGGGGATGATATTCAGCGACACAAACCAGTGAGAAGCAGCCCTCCGCCGGTGGTGGGCAGGTAGAGATTTGATAGATACATGCCCGGTCTCCTCATCTCTGGCCCCACAGTGGGGGTGTCTCTGGGGGGCTCCCTGAGCTCCCCAGTAGGCCCGGGTGCCACTTGCCTTCTCCAATGCTCCCCTCATCACCACATTCCCTTCCCTGGCCCACTTTCCCCTCCCCTGCAGTGCTTCCTGGGATCCCCTGTAAATACACTCCTTGCATCTGCATTCCCCTCCAGGGTTTGCCCCTGACAGGGAAACCCAAATTAAGACAGGCATCGATAACGTCTCAAGCACTCCACCAAATCATTCATTCATAGGCATGTACATATCTTCATTTAATCCTCTATAAAGCTGGCATCATTAACGTCGTTTTACAGAAGAGGAAGGAGACGATCAAAAGCGTAAGTAATACACCCAAATTTACCAAGAGGTGGACCCAGGACGTGAGGCAGGACCATCCGATTTGCCGGGCTCATCACAGCGCTCTCCTCGCGTCCTGCTCTCTGCATAAAAGCAGCAACTTCTTAGGCCCGTATCCCTCTTTGTTGGTCTGGTCACCTTTGGCCTCCCTCTTCCCCCATCTCTCTGTGGAGACCCGAGCCCAGAAAACTCACGGGATGTTCCTTTGAAGACCTTGTCTAAAGTTTTCATTTTACGGGTGAGGAAACAGCCTTGAAGGGACAAGGGACGTTTCCAAAGCACATGGGCATTCCTTTGCACCGGTGCTTTGCACCATCTGTGAAGAAGGCTAGCGGGGTCCCATGTTATGGAAAAGAAGTGGAATCCGAGGGGTACGCAAGTGGCAGAGCAGGTGTGGGCGGCCGTGGGGAGAATCACAGGAAGCATCCTTTATCAGACAATTTCCCTTGGGCCAGGTGCTCTGTGACGCCCTTCACCTACAAGCTGACCTTGGGCATACGAGTGGAAGTGTTCAGCATTCTATGGGGCGCCTGGGTGGCTCAGTCGTTAAGCGTCTGCCTTCGGCTCAGGTCATGATCCCAGGGTCCTGGGATCGAGCCCCGCGTCGGGCTCCCTGCTCCGCGAGAAGTCTGTTTCTCCCTCTCCCGCTCCCCCTGCTTGTGTTCCCTCTCTCGCTGTGTCTCTCTCTGTCAAATAAATAAATAAAATCTTAAAAAAAAAAAAAGTGTTCAGCATTCTCATTTGTTGGAGTGGGAGCCCAGACTTATGAAGGCATAGTGATCTGCTCTTATCTCCAGGACAGAGCTGGGATTTGGCCATGGCCCCTGGTTGGACCAGAGCATAAAACAGGAACCTGCGATCAGAAAGGAATGGCTGGAGTGGTGGGGGATGGGAGGGATGGGGTGGCTGGGTGATAGACATTGGGGAGGGTATGTGCTATGGTGAGCGCTGTGAATTATGTAAGACTGTTGAATCGCAGATCTGTACCTCTGAAACAAATAAT